AGGGTAGTGTTACTTTGTCCCTTGAGAATCCTCATCCCAGCCCATCCTCAAGGTCTGCTTCCAGCCCAGTAGACCCTTCTCTTGAAGATTTTCATCAACCAGATGCAACGAATATTTATTACGTGCACTCACATATATGCATGCATGTGTGGATTTAACTTTGGAAGTTTACTGTTTGTGTGGATTTAACTTTGATTTTGTATATATTTGGAAGTTTACTGTTTTCCTTGAAAAAGAGGAGTACAAGGTATTTATAGTCTGCACCAATTCTGTTTTTCATCTGTCAGTTATTAAACTATATAGGTAATTACATTGCATATATAATTACTACATGAATATCATACAAATAAACTGTAATACTGTTTACGTTTTTATCCTACTTGAATATTCATACTTTTGATAAACTGATATTAAGGTATTCACTGATTGGCTTATATTACGGCCCATAATTTCTAGATTTTACGATCTAGAAATTCTGAATTCCAAAATATATCTGATGCTAATTTTTTTTGCCAATTTTTATAAGCTTTTATTTTTATTTGAAATGCAGAATTGCAGACAGAGACAGCCATCACCTGCTGCCTCCAGGGTATACATTAGCAGGAAGCTGGATCTGAAACAGTGAAAGGACTTGAAGCCAGGCACTCTGCTATAGAATACCAGCATCTTAACCGCTGAACCAGACGCCAGCCCTGCTGCCATGTTTTAAGTAAGAACGGTACTGTAAGAAGTAGGGGTGGGCATTGTGGCGTAGCAGGTAAAGCTGCTGCCTGTGAGGCCGGCATCCCATATGGGCACCAGTTCGTGTCCCAGCTGTTCCACTCCCGATCCAGCTCCCCGCTAATGGCCTGAGAAAAGCAATGAAAGATGGCCCTGCACCCATGTGGGAGACTTAGAAGAAGCTCCTGAGTCTGACTTTAGCCCAGCCCAGCCCTGGCCATTGCAGCCATTTGGAAAGTGAACCAGTGGATGAAAGATCTCTCTCTCTTTCAAATAAATAAATCTTAAAAAAAAAAAAAAAAGTAAATACTTACTTTAGGTAAGAACTTTCACTATAAAAAAAGAAGGTGATGGCTTCCACAGTAGCAGAATGGGAACCTCCTAAAATTTCCTCTATAAAAGCAACACAAACTGACAAAAGTTGTCAAAATGAACTTTAAAAACAAAAACTAAAAAAACCTCTGGGAGTTAAAGGTCTAGGAGCATTTATTTGAGAAAAATGGCTAAATCCCAGAAGGAACAGGGAGCTTGGTGGCATTTTTACCTTGCTCTCTTCTCCCGCCCATCTTCCCCCAGCTAACAGCCTTGCGACATGGTTTCCGTGACAGACAACAACCTACCCACTTGGGAGGGACAGAGCAGCTCTAGCGCTCAGCTCCCCCTGCCCTGTTCGCAGGACGTCACTGTCTGGCCTCTCTGCCAGGTCTCTGAAAAACTTCGTTCTCAAGCCTTTTCCTTCTTCTGGCTTGTCAGAGCTTACTCTTTGTGAATGGTTCTGTCCAGGGTTTTTGTCAAGAACAATCCTTGTTTACAATTGAGCTTCTGGGGCACTGTGACCAACTGGCACCAGCAAGAACCTGAACCTCACCCCCCAAATCCATCCCCCAGCATATAAAGTGAAAGGAAACACCACCATGAAATGGGATGTCGCAGGAGGTGCTTAAAAGCTCTGACTTTCCTGGGGATTTAGAATGATTCCCATGAGCAGGGCTGTGCAGATACCCAAGAAAGATGGGAGACGGCCCTAACCTCTCCTCTGTGGCTGACCTCAGGGGTCCACACAAGCAGGAAGCGAAGGCTAGGGCCAGAGGTGTAAATTCCCCACACAAGCGATGAAACCAGAGCTGGGAGGCTGATTGGTTCCCGACATTCAAGGAATCGCAACAATAGACGCAGGTGTCAGAGTTCAGGCAGATAGCTTGCTGATCAACAGCAGCGGCATCGAGCCGCAGGGCAGGCACGCAGGGAATCGCCACTTTCCACAAAAAATGACAGGGCACACGAAGAAACAAGAGAGGGATGGCCCATGTACACTGAAAGGACACTGAGTGGAAACTGTCCTTAAGAAACAAAGATGTAGGACTTTTATTGTTTTAATTATCTCGTCTACTAACCTATATATTTCTTTTTTGGAAAAGATTTATTTAATTGAGAGGCAGAGTTACAGACAGAGAAAGAGGTCTTCCATCTACTGGTTCACTCCCCAAATGGCTGCAATGTCAACCTTAGCTGACCCAAAGCCAGGAGCCAGGAGCTTCTTCCGGGCCTTCCGCATGGGTGCAGGGGCCCAAGTACTTGAGCCATCTTCCCCTGTTTTCCTAGGCCATAGCCGAGAGCTGGATCAGAAAAGGAGCAATTGGGACACGAACCAGCACCCGTATGGGATGTGGGTGCCACAGGCAGAGGCTTAACTTACGACGCCACAGCACCGACCCCAAGATGTTGGACTTAACTGACCAGAGACTCTAAATCAGCTACTATAAATATAAATGTGGTGAAAGAATGAAAGAACACTGTGTTTAAATAACTAAAAAAAAGTATAAGAGCAGTTTCCCATAAATTAGAGAATATAAACTGATAGAATCACTTTTAAAAGTATCAAATAGAAATTTAGGAGCTGGAAAGTACAGTAACTAAAATTAAAAATTGTCAAGCTCAACAAAAGACTTGTGTTGACAGAACAGAGAGTCAGAGAACGTGAAAGTAACACATTTGATTACCCCAGCTGAGGAACAGAAAGAAGAATGAAGAAAGATGAAGAGGGCCATGTTTTTCTCTGTGAATAACGCAGTGAAGTATGAGTGAGTCTGTCATAAATGATGAAAGCCAGCCATAATTTAATAATATGTGAGTTATATCTGAGAGCTGTTTTAAAAATAAAGAAAGACAGTATTCTTTACATAGAGGTAGACCGACTTCCAAGACATACATGTTATGTAAAAAAGAAAGGAATGTCACAGTGTGTATATATATATTGCCATTTTTTTGTAAGGAAGATCGAAAAGAAAAAATTTGTAGGTGTTTGCTCTTTCATTGAAAAATACTACAAGGCTTCATGGGAAACTAATAAATATGGTTGCTCCGAAAGCCAAGAGAGAGATGACAGTTGGTATCCAGAGTCAGTTTAACGTTGTAAACTATGTGGGATTTACTGGGGGGAACAGGTTACAAACGATAAGTGTTTTAAGAGAAGCAGGCGGCTGGCGCCAAGGCTCAATAGGCTAATCCTCTGCCTGCGGCGCCGGCACCCTGGGTTCTAGTCCTGGTTGGGGCACCAGATTCTGTCCCGGTTGCCCCTCTTCCAGGCCAGCTCTCTGCTGTGGCCCAGGAGGGCAGTGGAGGATGGCCCAAGTGCTTGGGCCCTGCACCCCATGGGAGACCAGGAGAAGCACCTGGCTCCTGGCTCCGGATCAGCGCGATGCACCAGCTGCAGCGGCCATTGGAGGGTGAACCAATGGCAAAAGGAAGACCTTTCTCTCTGTCTGTCTCTCTCACTGTCCACTCTGCCTGTCAAAAAAAAAAAAAGCAGAGAAGCAGGCGTTATGGTGCAGTAGAGTAAGTCGCCGTGTCCACATCCCACACCAGGGTGTCTGGAATCGAGGCCTGCCTGGGCTTCCAATTCAGCTTTCTGCTAACACACTTGAGAGGCAGCAGGTGATGGCCCAGGCGCTTGGATTCCTGCTGTCCGTGTGGGAGACCCAGTTGGAATTCTGGCCCCTGGCTTCAGCCTGGCCTCACCTGATTGTTACAGGCATCTGGGGAGTGAACCAACAGATGGAAGATCTCTCTCTCTCCCTCCCTCTCTCTCTTTCTCTTTGTCTCCCCCTCTTTCTGTAGATTCATTTCTTTTCAAATAAATAAATCTTAAATGATTTTGCTTTCCTCAAGGCTATTTTATTTCCTAAGTCAGTGTTCATTTACACAGCCCAGTATGTGGCAGATGAAGGCCACTTGAATACCTGAAATATAAGGTGGGTAGGCAGTTTTAGGATCTCAAACGGGTTTTTTGTTGTTCAGAAATTTCAATTATCAATGAGATGGTTTAGAATGCTGAGCACATTTTTCTCTGTGGCTAATGCAAAGAAAAATGGGCCCATCCTAAATGATAAAAAGCTAGCCAGAGTGTTGCTGGCCTGTGTTGTAACAGGAGGGTGAGTGTGGAACAGACTTATTTTTTCTGAAGTGTGCCATCTGGAGTAGGAGCTGGCAGTCTTGCTGGTACAGGTTAGCTAGCTAGTGATTTGGGTTCTGTGGGTCACACTGAGTGCACGGGACTCAGCCTCCTTTGTGGATGAAAAGCAGCCCCAAGCAATCAGTGAGCATCCAAGTGACACTGTTCCAATAAGCTTTCCTACCAAAGCCGCCTCTGCGTTTGGCCTGTGAGCCACAGTGTGCCAGCCCCTGAAGTAGAATATTGACTAGGGGGAGAGAAATAAGTGTATTCTGGCTCTCACCTCCAAGAACACTGATCTCTTTGTTCCATCGTTGCAAGTGGTGACCCTTTCCTCCTGTCAAAGAACAGATTGTCCCCATGGCTGTGGGGGCGGCATCCATATCTTTTGCAGAATCTCTCCTAGGTCTCCTCCCTGAAACAAAGCTCTGGGAACTGGGAGTCCTTGTAGGAGAGAGACGCAGCTGAAGGAAGAGCCGTTTGTCTGAGTTTCTGGTGCCCACTGCTGGCTGTGTTGCCGTAGCAAGTAATAGGAAAGCACAGTACGTGGACTCAGAGCGGGGCGGATGCCGCTTGCCAGCCTGACCCTAGGGGAACACTTCCTGGGTCTCAGTTCCCCCCACAGAGCTTCAGTATCCTCATGGATAATGAGGAGATGGGCTAGAGATGACATTTAGATCAACGCCGGCTCTAAAGGTGGCATGTAGGGGCGTAGGACGGTGGCAGACTACCTAATTGCTCTTAAATCAGGAACCTCATTCATAGTCTTTCTGAACGTTGCTTAGAAGCACGTTCACCTGGTAAGTGACAGTGTGTGTGCCTCTCCCAGGAGCGGAGATGGACCTTGTTCTCGGCGCGGCAGATTACTACTTCTTCACGCCGTATGTCTACCCAGCCACGTGGCCAGAGGATGACATCTTCCGGCAGACGATCAGTCTCCTCATTGTAACGAACCTTGGTGCTTACATCCTGTATTTCTTCTGTGCAACCCTGAGCTACTACTTTGTCTTTGATCATGCATTAATGAAGCATCCACAATTTTTAAAGGTAAGAGATTTCTGTGCCTGTGTTCCAACAGCTGTTACACTCAAAATAGCAGTATGTTGTATTTATGAGATTCTTCAGGTTAAATTGCTTATATGTAACCTTTAAATAAAATTTTTGAAACCAACGCCAAATGGGTTATGTGGTTTTGCGAGGGCTAGTCGCCTCTCTCCTTTCCTTACTTTAACAAATAAATGAATGCCTCTTAAAAAAAAACTATAAATTTAGAATCTTTTACTAGATACATAGGTGGAAATTTCTTTGATAATATTTGCAAATAAATAAATATACATCTGATGTGATTTTACTGTTTAACTCTCAAAAGCTGAAATGTATTTTTACCATGGGTATTTTTGTTTGACTAGATAGGGGTTTCAAAGTTTTTTACAATCATTTTTTTTAAAGATTTCTTTCTTTATTTATTTGAAAGACAGACTGACAAAGATGGAGATACAGAGAGAGAGAGGGAAGAGGGAGATCTTTCACTTCCTGATTCATTCCCCAAATGCCTGCATCAGCCAGGGCTGGGCCAGGCTGAAGCCAGGAACTCCATCCAGATCTCACACATGGATGGTAAGGACCCAAGTACTTGAGCCACCATCTGCTGCCTCCAGGTGCATTGGCAGGAAGCTGGATTGGAGGCAGAGGTGAGACTTGATCCCATCTACTCTATGGGATATAGTTGTCTCCCGGGACAGTTAACCTCCTATACACAGTGCTCACTTCGATAATCATTTTTCTATTTCAATTATTTGTATTTATCAGTTACTCCAAGGACTGGGGAAAAAATAGCTTGAGGAATGGAAGCTAATTATGAAAGAAATGACTATTGCGGGGCCGACGCTGTGGCGCAGCGGGTTAATGCCCTGGCCTGAAGTGCCGGCACCAGTTTGAGACCCAGATGTTCCACTTCCAATCCAGCTCTCTGCTATGGCCTGGGATAGTATAGAAGATGGCCCAAGCCCTTGGGCCCCTGCACCCACATGGGAGACCCGGAAGGAGCTCCTGGCTTCGGATCGGCACAGCTCCGGCCGTTGTGGCCAGTTGGGGAGTGAACCATCAAAGGGAAGACCTCTCTGTCTCTCTGCCTCTCCTCTCTATGTGTAACTCTGACTTTCAAATAAATAAATAAGAAAGAAAGAAATGACTATTACATAAATAGAAATTTAAAATACAGAGTCTAGGGGCAGGCATTGTGGCATAGTATGTGAAGCTAACACCGGTGACACTGGCATCCCATATGAGTGCCAGTTTGTGTCCCAGCTGCTCCACTTCTGATCCAGCTCTCTGCTAATGGCCTGGGAAAAAGCAGAGGAAGATGACCCAACTATGTGGGTCTCTGCCACCCATGTGGGAGACCCAGCTGAAGCTCCTGACCCAGCCCCGGTTGTTGCGGATATCTACGGAGTGAACCAGGGAAAATCTCTCTGTCTCTCTTTCCTTCTACCTCTCTCTCTGTAACTCTTTCAAATAAATAAATACATCTTTTAAAAAATTACAGATTTTGTGGAAGGATAAAAGGTTTCAGAATTTAAAATATATATCACATTTACTCAACACAAAAGGGATGTTTTTCTCATACATCCTTGCCCTTCTATTAAAATTTTGTAGAAACTGAAGGTGAGTCCCTTAATAGAAAAGAATTTTAAAAGTCCTGTCAAACAATTTTATGTTAGCTCTATTTAACAGAGATTTTTTGATTTTGAAGTATTGGAAATTTCAATTTCAGAATCAAGTCTACCGGGAGATTAAGTTTACGGTCCAGTCATTGCCATGGATAAGTATTCCCACTGTTTCATTGTTCCTGCTGGAGCTAAGAGGTTACAGCAAGTTGTATGATGACATAGGAGAGTTCCCAAATGGTAAGTAAACAGTAAGACCGTCAGCTGGAGAATAATATATGCACAGGTTGACTTCTTTAAAGAACTAAGTCTAAAATCTGTTGTAGATAAAATTGTGCCTGAGTGAAGATCGGAGTGATTAGGGATGGGACCTTGTATGTGTTTTCTCTTATCCTTACTGAATTCAAACTTAAGTCAAGTAGTAGATGATAATTCCTGAAAATCAGAAAATACAGATTTTTTTAGAAGTCCATTATCCTGCTCCCTATAAGCTGTTCATCGTTTGGCATTCAGTCTCTCACTTTTCTACGCCTGTGTATTTCATTATTTACATTACAAAATGAGATCCTGCTATGCATGCTGGTTTGGGACTGTCACGTTTTTCTTGTGACAGTAAATACAGCTATATTTTTATGTCAGTGAATATTGATATTATACTAGCATAAGTATTTTAGTTATAGTGTTCCATTGGATGGATAGCAGTAATTTATTTCAATGACTTTTACTTGTTCAGCTGTGGGATTGTTCCCTTGTTCTATTATAACCAGTCCTGTATGACAACTTTTGTGAAATTTTGAAAATATTTCATTAAGATATGCTTCTAGTATATAGAAAGAATAATAGCTAGCATTTATCGAATGTTCATATGTGCTTGTCAAAAGTTCGTAAGTTCTTCATATGTGTCAATCCATTTTTTTCTGTAAGAATTCTAAGATAGGTACTAGTAAGGCATTTCAAAAAGTTCATGGAAAAATGGAATAAAAGCTAAGTTTATTTTGATCCAAAAAAGTTTTTCAGATCCATGCATTACATAGGATCTTCAAAAAGTTCATGGGAAATGTGTATTATGAAAAACCTGTTTATACATTCAAAAAATTTTGCATCAAAATAAAAACTTACCTTTTAATTCTATTTTTCCATGAAGTTTTTCAAGTACCCTCATTATTATTTTTTTTCTTAAAGATTATTTATTTGAAAGGCAGAGTTACAGGGAGGCAGAGACAGAGAGAGAGAGTGAAGTCCTCTATCCACTGGTTCACTCCCCATATAGCCACATTAGCTGGAGCTGGGCCAATCTGAAGCCAGGAGCCAGGAGCTTCCTCCAGGTCTCCCACACAGGTGGGGCCTAAGGGCTTGGGCCATCTTCCACTGCTTTCCTAGGCCATAGCAAAGAGCTGGATGAGGAAGTGGAGCAACCGGGACTCAAACCAGCACCCATATGGGATGCCAGCACTGCAGGTGGTGGCTTTACCCACTTACACCACAGCGTCACCCCCGCCCCCCCATATTATTTTACTCCTTTTATAAGTGAGTAAACTAGGTGAACGGTTCTGGGAACTCACATGGGTCACTCAGCAAACAGGTGGTGGCTCTGAGACCGGAGCCTAGGCTTGCTGGCACCAGAACCCTGCTCTCTACTAGGTTAAATACTTAGGGGAAGGAACAAAAGCTGTCCATGGTGGTGCGGAGTGCCTCGGTCTTGAACAGTGAGCATGATTGTGAGGAGAGGTGAAGGGCAGGAGGGCATTCTAGCTTTGTAGAACAGTTTGCATAAAAACATTGGGAAGACGCCCAAGAAAGCAGGCGGATTAGAGCAGGATCATAAGAATAGTGAGGTTGGCAAGGTAAGACAGGGCTGGGCCCCGGAGTTAATTCTGGGCTTAAGGTATTTAGTGGAAAATAAAGTTCTAAGCAAAGAGATAATATGTAAAGATTTGTCTTAGAAAGATTAATAGGAAAGAGATGATTAATTAGCATTATTTCCAGAGATTTAAATAATAAAGATAGCTTGAGTGTCCTTTTCTTGTCTCATAAATATCTTTATAGTTTAATGAAGAAGCATTGTAGCAGGACGTTTCAGGTTACTGTGAGAGGGAAATGAAGAAATGACTATGTTCCAAGGAGTCAGGGGAGATTAATTTCTAATACAGTGAATTAGCCCAAACAGGTCACTTGCAGATTGTGAGTTTAGGATTGCAGTTGGAACTGGGGCGGATGTGTAACAAGTAAACTCCTGGGGCAGGCGCTGGGTGCAGGTGCCCCTTGGGACCTCTGCTGCTGAGTCCAGCTTCCTACTGGTGTGCAGCCTGGCCGGCAGCAGTTGATGGCTCAGGTATTTGGGTCCCTGCCACTCAGGAGGGAGATTTTGATTGAGTTCCTGGCTGTTAGCCTCAGCCTGGTCCTGCCCCAGCTGTTGTGGGCATTTGGAAAGACATCTCTTTCTCTCTCTCTCTCTCTCTCTCTCTCTCTCTCTCTGCCTTTTAAATGGAAAAAAAAAAAAGAAAAGAAATAAATACATTTTTTTAAAAATGGGGGCAGGGTGTGGCACAGTGGGTAAAGTTGCTGTCCGCAGGCCAGCATCACATATGGGCACCAGTTTTAGTTCCGTCTGCTCCACTTCCCATCCAGCTCCCTGCTAATGTGTCTGGGAAAGCAGTGGAGGATGGCCCAAGTCCTTGGGCCCCTGCACCCATGTGGGAGACCTGGAAGAAGCTCCTGGCTCCTGGCTTCAGTCTGGCAACAGATAGAACAGTTTCTCTCTCTCTCTCTCTCTTTCTCTCTTTCTCTCTTTCTCTCTTTCTCTCTTTCTCTCTTTCTCTCCTTCTCTGTCCCTCACCCTCTCTCTGTAGCTCTGCCTCTCAGCTAAATAAAATAAATATTAACAAAACAAAACACACAAAAAAGTAAACTCTAATCCTGAGAGCCAAATCTTGGTTCTGCTATTCTGTTTTCTAGGCTGGATTCAGCTCACTTTCAGTGTGATATCCTTCCTCTTTTTCACTGACATGCTTATCTACTGGATTCACAGAGGCCTTCATCACAGACTGGTCTATAAGGTAAAGTCCTGTGTGGGGGAGAGAGGACGGATTCCACACACTTCAGCAGTGTAGGAAATGTGTTCTCATTTCTAAAAATTTCCATTACTCTAAGTGCCTGCCTACCCATAGTCAGGTCAGGTGCCAGGTAAATTTTGTTCCTATTCTTTATGGGACTTAAGTTGTCACCATTTCGGGGTAAAGAAGAAGGGCATTTTATAAGGTGATGTAGCTAGATCCGAAGGGATTTTTGGTTCAGGGTGTTTCCACAACAAGTGTGCAGAGCTCCGCTGAACTGCAGGGCAGAGTGAAGTCGGTGTTGCTGACTGTGTGCTCCTCTTCTCCAGCGCATACATAAGCCTCATCACATCTGGAAGATTCCCACTCCATTCGCAAGTCACGCGTTTCACCCTGTGGATGGCTTCCTTCAGAGTCTGCCTTACCACATCTACCCTTTTGTCTTTCCATTACACAAGGTGGTTTATTTGGGCTTGTACGTCTTGGTTAACATCTGGACGATTTCCATTCATGATGGGGATTTTCGCGTCCCCCACGTGTTAAAGCCATTTATTAATGGCTCAGCTCACCACACAGACCACCACATGTTTTTTGACTACAACTATGGACAGTATTTCACTTTGTGGGATAGAATTGGAGGCTCATTCAAAAATCCTTCCGCTTTCGAGGGGAAGGGGCCTCTGAATTATGTGAGGAAGATGACCGAAGAACAATGCAACAGCCATGCAGAAAACGATCCTAAGAATGACAAACTATCCAATGGAGAGTTTACCAAGACTGAATAGATTATTGTCCAGTTCTTCTTAGATATTTTTAATAATGAAAAGTAACCTTCGTACAGCCAAGCTACATAGCAAGTGAATGGTGTCATTTGAGAATGAGCAGTGTGGGTGTTGCTGAGCAGTGGTCATTGATGGTAGACCCAGGGAAGATGCTGTGAGCACCAGGATTCTAATCTCACTTACCATACCCCGTGTGGGTCCCTGGGACGACTGGTCTTTCCAACCCACAGAGCTGTCATTTGTACAGCCTCAGCAACAATTTTAAACAAGCTAAAGAGTAAACAACTGAGGGGGCAGGCTGAGTTCTTTTGCCTTAATCCTCCCATGTTCTTTAAGACAAATTCTTTGTGCTTAATAATACCAAGACTAAGCACTGTAATAAGAAATACTAATGTCAAGATGGTTCCTTCCTTCAGGAACGGTTCATTCTTCAGTGTTGGCATGATAATGATTGTAGTATTTTGTTCAACTGGAAACATCTGTGTGAGAAACAAGTTCTACACTACTGGCTGTGTAAATGAACTAAGTAATAGCAGGTGTGTGATAAGAGTGTCCTCTTCCTACACATAGGCTCTTTCTCTGGGAATATTACCAAGTATTCTGTTTTACTGATGAATAAATAAATGTGAATTTTAAAAAATACCAATACTACCATGACTTAATCCAGAGCTGGGATTATGTAACTAAGATTTTGATGGTTACTCTTTGCAACCATTATTTAATAAGTGTAAAAAATGTGTGCATCTGAATATATTTAGAAAGGGAAGTTTTGATGCCCAGGTATTATATTTGGCACAACCGATTTTTTAATTAAATTGATGCACTGCACTTTTGGTATGTTTTGAAGTTACAAACTTGTAATTTTTTATGAAAGGAAATTATTGCCAAATATATATGCCTATCACTGAAGGTTTGTTTTGAAATCTTACTGTTGCTTCGTTTTTCTCCACTTCCTCAGCAAATATACTTTCATAAAGGAATGTGTGTTGTAGCATAAATATTGGGAAAACATGGTTTGTAAAGGCATTCTATAAACTATTTATGTAAAAATCAATAAAAGCCGATCATGATTATTAAACTGTATCAGTTAAATATGATAGCAGAAAGTCTTGTTTGTACCAAGTTTGTGTCTATTTGAAACAGTAGAAATTATGTGGATTGTTAGAACTGAGTTCGAACACCCTCAAGATGTTGAGTATCAAGTTGAGAAAGAGAGAGAATATTCTTTTGAATTTCACGTCTTTATTAGATTGAAATTGAATGTCTGAGATCCAGAAGAAAGTGCTTTCTTGTTTTTCTGTTTGAGTGATTGTTACGAGGCCGTCTTACCTGTCCCAGTGCACAGTTAGTGTTCTCAGCTGGTAAATGCAGATGGGTTCTTTTCACTCACCCCGCCTGCCCCCAGGGCTCGCTTTGCCCAAGAGAAAGAAGGCAATGAAGGAGTGAGATAAACACACTGTTTCCTAGTAAGAATAAGAACTGATGTGCGGGAGCTTTTCCTTTTGGACAGGCGTCCATACACACAAGTCCTCAGCAGGAGGAAGCTGGGACCCCCGGAGAGGTGAGTGGCTTTTCCAAGCTGTTCCTCTCAAGTCCCCTGTGGACGTTTCTGGTCTGGTCAGTGGACGACTTTCCACAGGCTCCTTCCATGCCGGGGCGCTGCCTGTCTGTCAGTGCCGGGAGCTCTTAGTTGAAGGAGCACTTAGGGAGAGAAGGAAAAGTGTGTGTGGAAAACAGGTGCATGTTCTCTGGACAAGACTCAGTCACGTGGCCCGCCTCCCTGGAAAAGGCTCTGGGAAATGCATCCATCGTGTACCTGGCAGGAAGGGGAAGTCAACTTCCTGAATCGCCAGCCGGTTTGCCACATCCATATAATTTATTACCTTCTTCTTGGGGGGAATAAAGGAAATAAGGGTGCTGAGCTGGCGAATGAGCTCAAAAGCCCTGAAGTCCCCCCGCACTGGCTGTCTTACTGTCCAAAACACTAACCACCTTGAAGGGTGCTGTTGTCTCAGTGTGTCCCCCTAAAGTTCATTTATTAAAACTTTATTGTGACTGTGATAGTATTAAGAAGTAGGGCCTTAAAAAAAGATTTAGTTATATATGTATTTGAAAGACAGGGAGAGACAGAAAATCTTCCATATACTGGTTCACTCCCCCAGATGGCCACAACGGTCAGGCTGATCTAGGCCAAAGCCAGGAGCGTGGAACTCCATCCAGGTCAAGGGCCCAAGTACATGGGCCAGTATTCACTGTTTTCCCATGTGCACTAGCAGGGGACTGGATTGGAAGCAGAGCAGCTGGGACTTGAACTGGCACTTTGATTTGGGATGCCAGCATCACAGGTACAGTTTAATACACTACACCACAACGCTGGCCCCGAAAGAAGTGCTTAAGTCATGAGTCCCCATGAATGAGAGTAATGAGCCTATAGAAGAGGTGTGGCGGGGCCAGCGCTGTGGCGTAGCAGTGCCTGCAGTGCCAGCATACCTTCTGTCTCCTGGCTTCAGATCAGCACAGCTCTGGCTATTGTGGCCATCTGGGGAGTGAATGAGCGGATGGAAGACCTCTCTCTCTCTCTCTCTCTCTCTCTCTCTCTCTCTGCCTCTCTATAACTCTGCCTTTCAAATAAGTAAATCTTTAAAAAGAAGAAGAGATGTGGGGGCACTATTCATCTCTTTTGCCCTTGGATCCCTTCCACCATGTGAGGCCATAGCATTCATTCCTTCGAGAGGACACAGTAAGAAGGTGCCTGTTTGAAGCAGAAACAGGCCCACACCAGACACCAAAACCACTGGCAGTCTTAGATTTCCCAGCATCCAGAACGGTGAGAAAAATTTTCTACTTGAAAATCAACCACTCGAAGGTATTTTGTTAAAGCAGCATGAACAGACTAAGACAAGGGGAAAAGGACTTCCTTTGGTTGACTTCCTACCTTCTTCAAACTCAAAGCACTTGATTGGCAGCCTTATTTCAGCACTTCCTGCTTTCTGTCAGCTGTTGTTGTGTGTGTCTTATTAGTTCCAGACCCCAGACTCCTTAAAAGCAAAGACCACATCTAGATCAGCATTGTAGTACACCCCGCATTCTTTCAAGGTACCCAAGATGTGGTTGAGGTTGCATAAATAATGTAATAATGAAGTAGTAGAAATGTCATTCTCTTCAATACATATTTAACGAACCCTTAATAAGTGCCAAACACTGAGCTCGGTGCAAATATGTAACCTGTCCTGATGCTGTGTTTTTAGCAAACAATTTGTTTCTCATTGATTCATTGGCTGATATTTGTTGAGTACTTAGGGGAGTCAGAAGCGAAAACAGAAGAATCAAAGATGGTCTCTACATCAGGGATAGACTTTCTTCTTTATCTCACTCAAAGTCATAACCTAGAAGCAAACAGTAACCCAGAAACTGACCACACATGAATCTGCAATATGAGTATGGACTGGAATGCCTAGTGAATCTATACACCCAACAATCAACTCTGTACTTCGGGTAAAGTTAAAAAATTCCCAAAGACGTTGCTTGATTTACACCAAGAAAGGGCAGACCTAGGAGGCTGATCTGTAACCTCACCCCAGGGGAATTGTTGCTAAGAGCCTTTGGAGTTGAATAGCCAGGTGTGAGTCCTGGCTGTGCGGCTTACGGATTGCATGACCCTGGTTTTCCCATCAGTACACAGATGGGAATACTGCCTACCTAGTAAGACTAAATGGACGCCGGCGCCGTGGCTCAATAGGCTAATCCTCCACCTTGCGGCGCCGGCACACCGGGTTCTAGTCCCGGTTGGGGCGCCGGATTCTGTCCCGGTTGCCCCTCTTCCAGGCCAGCTCTCTGCTATGGCCAGGGAGTGCAGTGGAGGATGGCCCAGGTGCTTGGGCCCTGCACCCCATGGGAGACCAGGAAAAGCACCTGGCTCCTGGCTCCTGCCAGGATCAGCGCGGTGCGCCGGCTGCAGCGGCGGCCATTGGAGGGTGAACCAGCGGCAAAGGAAGACCTTTCTCTCTCTGTCTCTCTCTCTCACTGTCCACTCTGCCTGTCAAAAAAAAAAAAAAAAAAAAAAAAAGACTAAATGGGTTAGAAGCCCTCAGTTAGATGTCAACTGAGGCTATTAATCATGTAAAATGTGCTGAATGCGTTTTCTTTCTAGGTTCACTGATTATTATCATTATACCTTGGCTAGGCCCTCAGTAGAAATCAGGTGCATGAGGGAAAAAGGATTCAAGGCTAGCATGGATCTGAGAAGAGAAATAAGTTCAGAAAGAATTAAAGTAGGCTCAAATGAAAATTTAATTAAAAAAATATGAAAATCAAAATACCATAAAGAAAAATTAAAATGGCCAGAAAAATTGTGAGTGCTGGCACTGTGGTGTAGTGAGTAAAGCCACTTCCTGCAGTGCCGGCATCCCATATGGGCACCAGTTCGAGTTCTCGGCTGCTCCACTTCCAATCCAGCTCTCTTCTGTGACCTGGGGAAGCAATAGAAGATGGCCCAAGTCCTTGTGCCCCTGAACCCGCGTGGGAGACCCAGAAGAAGCTCCTGGGTCCTGGCTTTGGACCAGCTGTTGCAGGCAACTGGGGAGTGAACCAACGGATGGAAGACCTCTCTCTGTGTAACCTTGACTTTCAAATAAATAAATAGATCTTTTAAAAAAAATTGTGAAAAACGATGAAGACAAAGAATTTTCAAATTCTGGTGTCCTAAAAGAGGAAAAGTAAAGCAACAGAGCAGAGAACATAGTGTTCACTCTAAGTCAAAGCAGGAATGAAGATGCAAACGTGCACATTGCAGAGTCATAAAACCAGGTATTTGGTCTAGTGGTTAAAGTGCCTGCGTCCCACAAAGGAGTATATAGGTTCAAGTCTCATTTCTGCTCCTAATTCTAGCATCCTGCTGATGGCCACCCTGGAAGCCACCAGCAGGTGATGGATTAGCTAATTGAGCCCCTGTCACCCACATGGGAAACCCGAGTTGAAGTAATGGCTTCCAGCTTTGGGCTGGCTCAGCCCTGGCCCTTGTGGGCATTTGAAAAGTGAAGCACAGATGGGAGCTCTTTCTGACTGTCCATCTGTCCGTCTGTCCGTCTGGCTTCCCTCCGTGTGTCTGAGTGTCTATCTCTTTGTATTGCAAATGAAAAATAAGTAAATGAAGCTGGTTTGAACATTCCTGTACAAATTTTTGTATTGTCTCTTGCTTTATTTCTCTTATGTAAACACTTAGTTAGAAAACAGCTAGAACATATGGTGGTTTTATGAGAATGTTTAACTTGTTAAGAAAATGAAAAACTATTTTCCAAAATGATTATGCCGCATCCTCCCCAACACTTGATAAGGCCAGTCTTTATCATTTAGGTCCATTGAACATTATGATACAATAAAACTGGATTTTGGAATGGGTACAATTATGTGTCTTCTATTAAATGAAAAGTTTCATTTGTGTAGCTTTACTTGCAGTAGTAAATCACAAAAGAGATATCATATATGTTTTTCATCACATTTGGTTTTTTAGTCCTATTGTGGCTTAATTTGCATTTTCCCATGACCATAATGATGTTAAACACCTTTTCTGGTACTTTGTATATTTTTACTGTTTTTATATGTTCTTTTGTGAAATATCTATTTTACATCCCATTTTAAAAATTGGGTTGTTCTTTGTGTGTGTATGTGTGTATAAATAAATAAATCTTTTTTTAAAAGATTATTTATTTATTTGAAAGGCAGAACTACAGAGAGGCAGAGGTAGAGGCAGAGAGAGCGAGAGAGAGATCTTCCATCCACTGGTTCAGAGAGAGAGAGAGAGAATCTTCCATCCACTGGTTCACTCCCCAAATGGCTGAAATGGCTGGAGGTGGGCCAGTCCAAGGCCAGGAGCCAGGAGCCTCCGCTGGGTCTCCCACATGGGTGCAGGGGCCCAAGGACTTGGCCATCTTCCACTGCTTTCCCAGGCCATAGCAGAGAGCTGGATGGGAAGTGGAGCAGCCAGGACTCGAACAGGCACCCATATGGGATGCCAGCACTGCAGGTGGTGGCTTTACCCACTGCACCACAGTACCAGTCCCCTTTTGTGCTATTGACATA